AGACATATGTTAATTATTGTCACTGAAAAATGTATTTTTTCATAACAAAAGGAATAAACCTGTGTATTTAAGGCGATAGTAATTACTTTTTCAGCTGATTGTCATACAGTATTGTGAGGAAATCGGTTTCATCTATTTTTTCACTACACTTCATGTGTTTCAAATCATTAATTATTTTGTTTCACACAAAATTCGGCGTTCATATAGCGTGTAGGACTTTAAGTTATTGGTTCTTAATGTTAACTTACAGTCTACATAATGTCAAGGTTTTCGATGTTACTGTCTTAAAGTTATTGGTTCGTTGTAATCTAACAGTATACATTATGTCAAAACTTTCCATGTTACTGTGCCAAAATAATTGGTTATCAATATAAACTAGTAGTATATGATGTCATTGAAAGTAATTTATGCTACTACACGTTTCTCTACGATTTTTGGTTCTCAGTGTGAACTAGCAATATACATTATGGCAATGTTTTCATCTTTACTGTCTCAAATTTACTGGTTCGCAATGAGAACTTGAAGTAAACATGATGTCTAAATTTTTAAAGCTATTGTCTCAAAGTTATTGGTTCTAAATTTAACCTAACAGTATATGATGTCAAAGTTATCCATGCTACTGACTCTAAGATTGCGGTTCTTAATATGAACTAGCAGTGCATAAGGTCTAAGTAGAATTAGTCCTGTCACAGTATCTAAGTTAAAAATTATAAGTACCAAACAACCTGTGCTCTGCAATTAAAGTTAATTCCGAGATCAGCTTCTAGGAGCTCAGATTCTGCCTGCAACTCTTTTGCAAGTTGTCCCTCGATTAGTTTTTGATGGGTCTTAATCTGCCATCCCACTGCAGGTTATTGAAGATCGCCTCTTAGGGGTTCATGCAGATTATGCTAGACCCTCATGCAGACTGTCCCTAAATCAGTTTTAGTTGGGTCAGATTATGTCTGCCATTCCCCCTATACATTATCCGATTCAAATGGGTCATTTTTTCATAAAACATTGTTGCCTACAATTAATAAGCAGGTAATACGAATTGAGACACATGATGTTTTGCACTTGAAGACTTTGCATACCTTTAAATGATTTCAATCTTTTCTGAAGCACATTTGATAAGTGCAAGGATAGTGGATGGGGGTTGGGCATTCTTGTCGTCGGACTGGAAAGCAGGTAGATACATGCATGTCGTTAAAAGATAGAAGACAATATTCCCTTCAAAGGTCGTTATGTGATACACTAAAAAAGATATTCCCTGCAAACCTTATTATTTTTCCCACTTTTTCGAATAAATGATTTATACACAAACACTGTTTGAGAATATGCACAAGTGTATAAATTTTGTTTAAAAACATTCGAGAAAAAAAGAATATTGGTTATTTTTAAACTGGTTTGGTTTCTATAAACACCAAATACTATCTAAAAACTTTTGTATGCCTTACTGTATTTTGAATTTGGTACTTGATGACCGTGCTGTTTGCATTTTATTTTATAAAACTAATTCTTTTAAACACCTACCACTACATTGTAAAACAAAACTTTATCAGAACAATTTAAATTGGCATGAGAAACCTTTTTTTTTTATCATTAATGCTTATACAGAAACAACTTCTAGAAAAAGTGATCTATGATTCAGAAAAATAAAACATTGTTTGATTCAATTGGATTTTTTTTTTGTTGCACGTACATTTTTCAAAAACAGGATGTTTTTAAAGTAAAATTGAAACATTAACTCTCGATACAACAAAATGAACATAGTAATTAAGTACAGCAATGAAATCTAAAGGTTTCGGAAAGTGATAATGTATTTAATATACACAACCAAACTAAAGATCTTTTTAACTTTACGGCAATTATAGAAAAGACAGCCTATGGGACTTTGAGCAATGAGAGTTCCTTTAATAAAACGTACAATATGACATGAATAAAAACTAAAGCAAAAAAGGGTTCCAAATTTACGATCTTCGGGGGATGATATAATAAATTTATATTCATGCATCCAGGAATATTTCTTGTACAATAACAATATTTCTTGTCACAGAGCTTGTTCAAATTATTTAAAGCCTTCAATGGCTTCCCATTAGTACACTGTACCAATCCAGTTCCGTTATTAGCCGATTACTTAAAATTCATTTTGAACAGAATTGATAAAACAAATTCAACATTAATGAAGAAAATCTCAATATTTAGAAACATATAGGTAAATGAACGGGGTATTATGACTGTTACTTCCATTAAGGTGTAATATTCCTATACCTACAGTATTAACATTTTTTAATGAAGACCATTTTAGGGACTTTGATCTTGAATACTGTTTGTTATCTAGAGATGCTTCATTTTATAGTCAATTCAATCAAGTCTTCTATACCGCACAGATGTTTATTTTTAGTTTCTATTGCCAACATTTTCATTAATTACATGTATTTATACCGGTAATAGTTTACCTAAAAGATTTATATTAAGTTCCTTTAAACTGTTTAAATTGGTATATTACTATCTCTTAACGTACAAATCTTTTAAATGTTCAGAAGCAGAATGGTTTATGATAATTTAATTAATATTATATTTCACTAAAACTATTTTCATGGGCGATTATTGAAAGCAAGCTTTTGATGATAGATGCATGTTATTTTACAAGCACAGAAAACAATTTGATATTCTGATTTAAAAAGCAACGCTTTATCATGTTTTCTAATGAGAATTAGATAGGTATGAGAGTAAATATCATTTTCATAATAAGTAGATTTTTAATTTGATTGTGAGATAAAATTAAAAAAAATACTATTTACTATACTAGTATCAAATTTTCTTCACATCATGATTAGACATAAAATTCATATCTGAAAAGTAAGCAACGCCTCTTATTTTAAACTATTTTCCATGAGAATCTACATTGTAATGCTATTGTTGCTGATGATCATCAATGTTTGGATGTTCGTAAAACACTTATCATTCCCCCCTCCCCAAATCGGAATTTTTCTAAGGCCAAGGGTCATGAATCTGTCCCAAATTGCTTGATCATACGCAAAACAGAATTGAATTCATCTGATAAATCTGTATACCAAATTTCATTTCAGTACTCGCAACCTCTGCGAAGAAATTGAACGGAAAAATCAAATGTTTGGATTTTATTCTATCCAAGGGGTATAACTTTGTCAAAAATGGCTCGATCGTATCCAAAACATAACTTGACCTAGATATTCTGATGATAAATCTGTTTTAATTACCAAATTGTGAAGAAAAGGAAAGAAACTAAACGTACCAGCAGACCGACCGACCGACAGGCAGCAGCAAAGCAATATGCCCTCCCTTCTTTGAAGGAGAGCATTAAAAAGCTACGACAGAGCCTTTTATGTCTCTCCCATATTTCGATATTTTACGAGTAAAAGATGTTTCTAAACAACAAGACTTCATGAATATGCTTCCACTTCCAATCCCTCAAGTATCTATATACCCTTTTCAGCTAAATATTGTGATGCATCCTCTACAAAATCGAAGCTAACTATTGCCAAACAAGGGAATAAAACAAGGATATCGACAGTCTCGTTCACAGACATAATTTCGCAATTTTAATGTTCAGTCTATTACCTAGGCAGCAAACAATGTTTTTTTTATTAAGACTGACTGATGTTTTTTTATACTTATTTACAAATTCAATTTTCTAAAGAATTTTAGCTAACCCAATCAGGACCAGGCGCACACAGTGGATGTCAGAGACTTACAACTCCATGGCACCGGATTCTACATCTGATATTTTCAAATGTTTGCATTTGCCATGTTTCCTAATTACTTAGTTTTTATCGAATTTTGAACTTGCGAGTAAACTATGGTTAGTTTTGATTTCAAAATTAAATTTTTCGTAAATGTTGAATATTACATGTATATCACTGAAATTCCATAGTTTGATTCATAAATATGTACTTGTAAATGTCAGACTGAGGGTTGAATACATGTACTAACTACGAAATCCCTGTCTGATTATTTTAATCACGCGAAGTCATAACCAAATGTGATTTATGAATATATACATGTGTAATATCAACTGGTATATTCTTTCACTTCTTTGCAAATATAAATGCTCTATCTTAAACTGAACAAATAACAATATGTATACGTGTACATGAATGGGTATCTTTTAAATAAATTATTCACTCAGAGCGATAGATTTGTTTTTCCTAAACAAGACCGTTTTTAAGAATTCAATACATGTAATATCATGTTTTCTACAGCTCGAAAGAACGATAACCCGTTCTTCCTAAATCCTCTTTGCTTTAATGGCAAATGTACAAATACTGAATTAAAAAATTAAATCACGAAAATATACATCTTTGTATAAAATATTTATTAAGACAGCATGTATATTCATTATGAAATTACAAATTACCTCAACCAGAAAGACGATTTCATTTAATTCTATCAATAAGAAAATTCTATAGAAAGTCGTTTGATGTTCAATTATTTTAAAATTAACTTGACAATTATTAAGCCTCACACATTGCACAGCAATATTTGCAAGTTTGCACATGACTTATAGACAATTCACTTAAAGCAATATGAGCTGCATGTTTGACATCGTAAAAACAATGTTGCAAATTTGTAATTAACTATTTCAATAACAGAAAAATAGAACATTTATAAACTTCTGTTGTTCATATTTGCTATGAAAGAACTTTTTATATCCTTAGATTGAAGCAAAATTGAATTATTGTCGTCCAGTACAATAATAATTTCTTATATAATACTGTATATTCAGTTGTACAGAAATATTTCTTCTGAAACATTTTAAACTTTATTTTGGTTTTATTGATCATCGGGGTTTAGATTAGATACAGATTCATCATAATAACATATTTTACCAGCAAAATAAAATTCTCAAAAATGCAGCTCATATTGCTTTAAGTGTGTATTTAGAATATAATGAAATTTATATAATGAATTTCACATCTATTGGTTGAACTTTATTATCAATATTGACATATACTAAATCCTTTATAAAGTAATTGTTATAATTATAGTAAATATTAACCCTTTTCAAAACATGTTGTGCTGTTAAATTGACACTTCTTGATTCTGTCGTCCCATTTCAGGTAACTACCGTCGAAATCAGACCTTGCACATGTATTGTTAACAGTTATGTTATTAGAACAGGAAATGAAGCCCTGGCACGTGTAACAGGACTGGTAATCCCCGTTCATCAGACCATTGCAATCGTTTACACAATCTGAAAAAAAGTGTTTGATGATGAATCACACATTTTTTAAAAACAGCAACGAAGGTAAGAAAAAGAAAATTTCTGTTCTACTTACCAGTTCCAATGATTGGTGAAATATATTCTTTAATTTTGGTAGCCGTATTTGAAATCTCTGGAAAAAATACTTAAAGTTTATTAGAGGTTTAAGAAAAGTCAACAAAATGTAACGATAAACAAGAATAGTCGTTCTTCCATATAGCCTCTATATGTTAGTCATTTCTGATACCACGATCGGCAAAGAAGTAATTAAACTTTGCTTAAAAGAAGTTTAAAAAAAAGTAAAAGAAGTTAGCATAATTTGTTACTGAAATAAATTAGAGGTGCACGGCCAGCTGTTTTTTGACTTTCTTTCGAAAACATTTACTCTTACCCTCAACTTAACATTTAGATATACATGACTGTATAGATTTCGGACTGGCAAATTATTGACCTTGAGAAATAATACCACAGACCTGCCTTCATATGTCGTTTGTTTTACTAAATAAAATGTTAATGGTAATCCAACAACCTAACTTTCTGATAAACGTGAGGAGTTTAAAACTTTTGTTTACAATCGTCAATTTTCCTTTCTTATTTAGTTGATTCGATACTAAAGAACATCCTCTACATATGAATAATTTCTTAAACGAAGAAAGTTAATGACAGACAAGTTGCAATTGATGAAACAAGAATATCAACTGTCTCGTTTAAAATCATCATGTCATTAATTTGATTGTCGATTCAATTATCATGTTAGCAAAAATAATATATCATTAAGTCAAATACTGACTATCTTTTTGTTTACTTAATTTCACACCATAATTTATACACTAAATTGTGACGAATGTCAATAAATTGCCATCTTCCCTTATGAACAATATACTAGTTCCTTCATCATCTGCATACGGCGTTTATACATGTATATATCTTAGTTCATTCGATATGCAAAAACATGCTCTCTGTATGTACAATGTCTAAAACGAGGTAGATTATTTATAAGCAAGATGATAAAACAAGAATATCAGCAGTCTCGTTTCAAGTCATTATTTCGTAAGTTCTTTGGTCGATACAACGACCTTGTCAGCTAATACATTTTATCATTGAGTCAAATGCCGATTGACGTTTTCATATTAGTTGGTAGGCCATAATTCACATACTGAATTGTCGACAGATTTTTTTTCTGTTATGTTTCGATCATACAAGGAGCACTCGGCGGGTGTGACCGTTCGGCAGGAGATATTCTTTTCTCAATTGCATCGGACCCCATCTCTGATGAGTTCAGCATTTCTTCTGCATCATTGTATTGTTTAATTGTCTTTTGAGCTTGGGTGCTATTCGTTATCTCCATATATTTCATTTCGATTATGAAACGACCTTTGAATGAATTTTAATAACTCTCTCTTCATTATCAATTTCCCTTTACTGTGCAAGATCCTAAGTGTGCGTAATGATATTTATACATATATATAAGCTGTGTACATTTTGAAACAATGCAAAGTAAAGTATATTTATGAGAACCATCATTTTTAGAATATAAAAACTTTTAGACCCATTTAAGTTCACAAAAGACACAGTCGTCGAACTTTATTGACAACCCATATACAACACAACACTCATTTGATTTTTATTCAAACAGATGGTATTGCAATGAAATTTTTTTTAAGTGATTGTGAAATGTATTGCTACAGCTCTTTTTCAGATAAATCGTCCTAAGATCGATCTTGAAGTAAGAGCTCTTTCTTTTAGGTCTAGCTAAACTCTAGTTTTCGTGATATTCCCTGCAACATACCTTTCTTAATCTCTGCTCTGAGAAATTCTACGGTCCTGGTGAAATTTTTAGAAATATTTGGCAGTTCAGAAAGCTGATCTGTATTTAAAGCACTCAATGCTGCTGCCAAAGATATTCCAAGGAAGATGAAAACAATAATTGCAAACGTACAAAAATCTCTTTTCCAACATTTCGATTTCTTCTGAAAAGAAAAGATCACGATGAATTCCCCAATTTCTTTTGAAATAGCAAAATCAGTTTTTTTTATGTTGTGCACTTTCATTTTACAAAACGTGAGGAAATTTTGGATGAGAGAGAGTTAGAATCAAGTAATAATTGAAACATATTCGATGTGTATGAATTATGAAAACTCTTAGAGTAGCAATAGTTTAAGATTTAATTGCTGAGTAAATGCGAAAAGAAATAAAATGATACATTGTATCAGTTACGTGTTATTGTTAACATCATTCTTAAGACTTTACTCCCTAACAGCTGTATATATTGACCATGCTTTGTAAAGTAAACATCGCAGTCTACTTCATTTATGAAATCTATTGTAAAACAAACCCTAAAGTGCTTGATAAAACCCCCAAAAATAATAGATGAGTCGTATAGATAATGGATAGATTGATTGATCGTGTATTGTTGAACATCCCTCTCGAGAATTTTTCACTCATACGAAGACGTCACCGTAGCCGGTGAAGGGCTTGAAATTTAGACCTATACTCGGCACTCAGGGCCATTGAGCAGTGCGGGTTCTTTATCGTGCCAGCGCCTACCGTGACACCGGACCTCCTTTTGTAAGGTCATATCAGAAAGACACGTGGCTTTCACTTCTGATACCGAGCGCTTGGCGAAATAATTACCTATTTTTACGCCGTAGGTTTGACGCGGCGCCGCGAAGAAGAATCGAACCCGGGCCTCCCGATCACGAAGCGAACGCTCTACCACTAGGCTACCAAGAACGGTATATAGATAATAAAAAGAATAATTTTGTGTGGTAAAGATTGAATTGGACGATGGACGGTCTGCGAAGAAACAGATAAATTTTATAAACCTTGTTAAAAAAGCTAGTAATGTGTGTTTTACTGGTACGGAACTTGTGAAAACAGAGTTACGCGGGAAAAAATGAAAGCGTTGACAATCAAACTTTAGCTACACGAAAAATTGTCAGCAAACTGGGTGTCAAGTGTTTTGGATATATTTTTATGAATTGGGAAGACGCTATAAACTGTGTTTGATTCTAAATGAAGAGACTCAGTAATTTTGAGAAACTTTGTCAACTTTGTTTTTGATGCAACATTGTAAGTTACCCGAGCTCCGTGGTGAAAAATCATGTTGCTCTTAAAACTGACTATCATGTGTTCAATTTAAGCAAACGGAATGAATCGTCACTAATCGACAAAATGTATGTTTTTACGAGGGGTGATCAAAATGTTCGCGAACTTTCTCTCTATCTACAAAACCACAATTCAGATTAGTTGAAAAATAGGCACACACATAGCCATACACAAGTTCTATAAATAGTATGTGCTGAATAAAGTTTTGCTTCTTGTTTGTGACGTCACAATGTAAAAATGACGTCACTATGTAGGTCACTTGTGACAAAAAAAAATTGATTCTCGGTTCTACTCGTTCAACAAACGACCGAATAGTTTATGGCATATCTTAAAATCCCTTTGAAGTAGCATATAATAATTTTCACATAGTTTATTTAAACAAATGACTTCCTATAAATTCAATTAATGTTTGGATTGATCGTTTTGGTGAAGGAAGGCAGATGGTTAAATATGACACTTGTTATTTTGTCCAGTGAAAGCAAGTTTGAAAAGAGATGTGTTTTTAATTAGCAATTTGCTATCCAATACCTCCAAATTACACTTTGAAAAATAATTGAATATTTCAACAATAATATAATCATTAAATTCCTAATTTATCGTTTACTTATGATTTTAAACATATTAGATATGATAAAAAAGGAGGCACCCATTCTCATCCACCTTGATTATACGTCTCTCCTGAGACAGAAGATTTGGGTTTTAATGGTCGCCATGCTTATCTTTGGAAAGGATATTCTTATCCACCCATTCTGTTGCCGAGAATTGACCATTTCTGACAAATGAACTGTTTATTGTTATAAAAAATTACTTACATTGAAATAATATAAAGCTAAGAAAAATCTTTCAGCTTTTGTGACGTTCTAGAACGCTACGGAAGAGGTCACGTGACCGCCTTTATCACGTAATTTGCGCATAAGGCAGCATGTTGGAGATGTGCATTAAAATCGGAGAGTACTAATTTAAAATAAAATATAATCAGCACTGAAACCAAATATTGTTTCTTTTATGGAAGTTATTCAATTAATTCGCGAACTTTTGATCACCCCTCGTACATATTGAAACAAGTTTATGTATAATGTTGTAAAAATAATATGATGCAGAGAAACATTGTCTACGTATTTGTGAATGACTCTCTTATTTTATAACATGAATAGAGGGTTTAATGATAATTCATACATAATTCATGCAAGTATTTGTGAATATAAAGGTACAATATTCCGAGGATCTCAAGTTTTGAATATAAGCAGGAAGGACATTGCTTTAAAACGAGATCTATTAAGGTAGGACAAAACACCCGTGAATTCTATTTTAACTCATTTCTTAAAAAGGACTCAAGAAAAAAAAGAATAGTACTATATTGACAACAATGAATGATCCCTATAAAAAAATAATAAGTTTTGGCATGTTTGTGTCATTTTTTGGGGAAAAATCAGAGAATCCTATAATACTCCTATATTGGTCACTTGGGAGCTTGTTTACACTATCGATCTACCCGGTAAGTCCAATAAACAAGCATGAAATACTCTGTTATTATTTTGTTTCATAAATAGAAGAGGGCTGATATTTGGAAACATATATAAGAAGTCCCCATTCGTTATGTACTACAAAGGTCAAAGTCATATCAAGCGGTCAAAGGTCAAATAACTAATTATGACGTCATCTACTTAATCTTAAAGTTTTTTTTGCCATTGACACTTTTTTAATCGCCAAAATATCTGAAACCACTAATTCAATTTTCTTTTTTTCACATTTTATTCCAGAACCCATTTTAATTATCCCGTTGATTTTTTGTAAAAATTGAATCATACATTTCAATTTTCAATTTCGATGCTAGGTATGTTCTATTTTTACTTAATATTTTTCTCTTTTTTTCCAGCATCAATATGACTTACTGATTTAAAGTAACAAAAAGGTTATCTTTATTCAAAGTATTACACAAATTTGCAATAAATCAAATGATAATTCAAAAATAAGGCTCATTCTCAAGTGGAATTTCTGATTTCACAATCTTCTTACAGGGGTCTGATGGGCCATATTTGAGACTATGTGAGCAAACAATGTGTGATTGAATTTCTTTCATAAAATATATAAAGAGAACTTTCAGAAAATTGAATTTAAGGAAAAAATTGGCCTATCCAGTGTCTCCTACCTTAATCAATACCTCATCATCATCTGAAAACGGCAACGATCTTTCGGGATCTCTTACGATGTACTTTACACCAGGTTCCTACAGAATAAATATTATCATAATTTGAATTGAATTCAAGAAAAATTGCTTGATTTCAGTGTAGCGGGAGCAGCAATTGAAAACAAGATGGTTCACTGTGATTATGTTTATTACAGTTGTATAAATACCAAATGCATCATCATATACCATCATACAGCAGATTCAAACTATGGGTATGAATCCATCCCTATTTTCTAATACATTACATGTGTGTATGTCTTATGGATAATTGTCACTGGTCTTACAAATTTCTCCAAATACAAAAAACACAACTATACACTTTGACTGCCCATGGGCTAGTAATTAGCTGGACACACAGGACAAAGGGGGTCAAAGGTTTTGGCGGGAAATATTGACCAATGGCTATTTTTAATTATGTATTTTTTCAAGGTTAAGAGTAAAGATTTAAGTTTAGAACTCTAGAGATTTTTTTAGACTTTAATAATAGAAAGTTGTTATAAATTTATTTACATGTCTAATGTTAAAATAAAACATATTCATTTTAAATCAAGTTTATTATTGAAAGTTATTTCAAAACTTTCAATGACATCTGAAAAAATACTTTAAATTAAAATCAATATAAAATCAATAATATCACACCAGAATAGGATGCATTAAGTCTTTCGGTTTCTTTTCCTTTGGTTTTTTTTTTTTGATTGCAAAAAAGATATCCTTGTCCATATTTTTCATTGATCAGGGGCCCGTTTCACAAAGCCTACTTAGGACTAAGTTCTATCTTAGGAAAGAACTTTTACCTAAGTTCATTACTTATCCGTTTCACTAACCTCGTCTTATCTTAGGATATTCCTAAGTTATGTCCTAACTTTAGGACAGGTAAATAGATGACTTAGGAAGAAACTAAATATTGCGACTGCATAGCCAAGACCTCTTATGGAGAGAGAGGGTGTCTTTGGTAAGAGAAATTCCAGTGGACTACTAGTATATGAATGATTAAACTGCTTTACTTTGTATGGAATTATTAGGATTTCAATAATTAGTTAACATGTGTCAAAATTAGTCCATGGTATATAAAAATGTCCGTTCACAAAACTGGAGCTGGCGAAATAGATGGTACACATGCTGGAATAATTCCCCATCATTTGAAGAGCACGCCTTTGTAAGCATAAAAAAGCACATGATTTGATCCATTATGATTTATACATGCATGTATACATTTATGATTTTATCTACCTGTACATGTATATCTGTATATTATTACTAGTATTTTATTCGATATTAGATTAGAATTTGAAAATTATATTTTAAATAAATGGAAACGCTTGTTCGCTTTCTATAGGTACATAATATGTACATGATTCTTGATGAACCCCCAACCAAGCTCTGGATATATACTGTTGATTTTTCTCCCAAGAATGGTTGCATCTTATCTCCTCTAGGGTGTTATTATTGAAGGGGACACAAGCATAACGCATGCAGTTTTGTCGTCTATGGTATTCTATACAGCGGTAAAATTATTATTACCTCCATCCCGTGTTCCAACGGCCATGAGATTATAACCAGTTTTTCTCTCTGCTTAATAACATGTATACCTATGCATAAGATTTAAATAGATTTCCTTTTTTTAACTTCTTTTAGTATTTCCATATCTGTAGTCGCAAGTTTGAGATTTTTTTCTGGCATGGCCTTCTTATTTTATATATATGAGAAAACTTTACACGGCACGAACAACTAACATGGGGTAGTCATTTTAAAATGCCCTCACATGTGTTCGCTACGAAGCAATCATTTTGAATTTCACAAGTAGATACCCTATAAAGAGCAAAATAAAGTAAACGTATAACACGTAGAACAAATGTTTAAAAAATACAAAAATCGTATACCCGGAAGGGTAGAGGGCATGAAAGGGTGTGTCTCACAATGTGAATGTTTAGTTCTAGCAGCATGCTTCGCAAAGTTAAAACATACTTCTGTCCAAGTCCTTTGAAAGTGGAGGTAATCCCTAATCTCCTCGCCCCTCCCTTTTTGAAGCTAAAAATATAATTTATACTGACATACTGAGAGTTGTAGATAGAGCGGAGAAGTTATTTCATTGGTCCTTATAGTTAGAGGAGGAAATGAATTACCTGTCATTAGTAAGGCACAACTTAAAGAAATTACTTAGGAAAAATTTAAGATAAGATTGTTTCGTGAAACAGCTGTGACAAATCTTAGGAACTTCCTAAGTTATAACTTAGGCATATCTTAAGTTATGTCTTACGAAATATCTTAGGAAACATTTGTGAAACAGGCCCCTGATCTACATGTAGGGTTTTCTTATACATTTCTTGTTACAGAATAGTTCTACGCACTTGCTTAACATATTCCACGCTTAACAATAACCCAAGAAATGACATTAGAGCTAGTCTGCCGGATACGTGGCTTTTATGCGTCATAAAAAATTGTTTTTTAACTTTTTGGAATTTTTGAATGTGATGGTTTTCTAAATAAAAGTTGTTATAGTATTAGGTTACCTAAATCGAGTGCTTGAATTTTTTTTTTTTGGCCTTACAGAATAGAAAATATTTATATTGTATTATAAATAATAATTCTGTAAATGATAATCCACATTTCTTGAAAAAATCTTAAATTCTTGACATTGAATTATTGTTTCGTGAACAAATTAAATTTTAATCTTAAAGAAGGAGGTATGTTGCTATTATAAACATTATTTTTTTTTAATACCCAAGGAGCATGTGAACAGGTTTCATTAATTCTGGAGAATATTTTGTTTGGACATAAATCTTTATAATATGGTTTCTAAGAAATTAAATATTTATTTTAATTTTCGTGCGTTGCAAGATTCTTTCCAATGCACTTGTAGTCAACACTTCAAACCCCCTTTTTGGTCTGTCTGTGTGTACCTATGTTTTATTGTTGCTTCGAACTTTTTCTATAGATTTTGTTTTTAGACCTAAATATATATAAATATACGAAAATTGATATTTTGACACTTAATTTGATGTTTTATTCAATAAGAAAAATTTACCAAACTTTAACCCCTGCCAACTACTTCTTAACTGATAGACTTATGCTTTCATTTTTCACATGAGTATTCTTTTTTCAAGACCTACTTTAAAGAAATTCGCCTTGAACGTTTGGAAAGATTGGTGCTATAGGGCTTGTAAATTTCACATTTTAACTATTAGCTTTTGTCAACATCTTTTTCTTTGGTACCAACCATTGCGATTTTTGACCTTGATGATTTAGTTTGGTCTACGTATGGAAAGCCTTAATCTTTACCATAATGTTTGAGTTCTATGGGAATATGGCTTTTATATTAGACAAGTAAATTTATTTTGGAATACCTTTCTTTGGGTACCAACATTTTTTCATTCTATACCTTGGTGTTTTCCCTAATTTTGAAACTTGTTTACCATGGTAAAACTTGATTGTTGGTACATGTACTGAAGCTTTCATATTCCACATGCACAGTGCTTGTAATTTCCTAAGTTCATTACTTATCCGTTTCACTAACCTCGTCCTATCTTAGGATATTCCTAAGTTATGTCGTAACTTTAGGACAGGTAAATCGATGACTTAGGAAGAAACTAAATATTGCGGCTGCATATCCAAGATTTCTTATGGAGAGAGAGTGATTGTTAGGGGAGAGAAAATCCAATAGACTACTTGTATATGTATAATTGTGTTCTCTCCAGGTTAAAACTGCTTTACTTTGCATGGAATTACTAGGATTTCATCAGGCAAACGTGTTAATATTAGTCCAAGGTATATAAAAATGTCCGTTCACAAAACTGGAGGTTGCGAAATAGATGTACACATACTGGAATAATTCCCCATCATTCGAAGAGCACGCCTTTGTAAACTAAAAAATAGCGTATGATTTGATCCATTTTTATACATGCATGTATATACAGTATGCTTTTATCCATATGTACATGTATATTTATTTATATGAGGTAATGCATATGTGGATCTTATGTGGCTAAATTGCCTATGTACAGAGAGTTGTAGATAGAACGGCGAAGTTATTTCATTAGTCCTTTAAGGCACAACTTAAGAAATGACTTAGGAAAAATTTAAGATAAGATTGTATCGTGAAACAGATAGGACAAATCTTAGGAACTTCCTAAGTTATGACTTAGGCATATCTTAAGTTATGTCTTATGACATATCTTAGGAAACGTTTGTGAAACAGGCCCCTTACTTACGATTGAGACGTTAAAAACTTGATCATGGCTGTTATACGGAGTACCCGGTGTTTTAAATGTACATAATGTTCATTTTAAATATGTAAAACTATAAATTTTATCATTTTCACTCGTTTTTGTTGTAAATGAAAAATAATATAATTACCCGGTTGTTATATAATCCTTCCTGTCTAGGGGAAATGTGTAAAATCTTAGGAATACGCCCATCACTGCTTCCCGATTCCTGCGATTTTGTTGACTGAATAGAAACATGACATGTCTTAATTTATTCTTTTGAAGTTGATTTTTTTTTGTTTATTTTTATGCATTTTTCTCTAACAAATTAAAATATAATGAATATTATTCTCTTCTTTCCTTCTTGTTGTAAAATTAATTTAATTAACTTTTTGAAGCATAGCTAGATTTTACTTACGCACTTATACGTTCTACAAGAAAAGAGACATACGATATTTTTTATCCATCAAAAGAAATATTTAATACAAACACATCAGTATGAATCAATTTATAGAGATTTGGGAGTTTATTAGACAACAATGATTAATACACAGCTGAAACCAAAAGCTTCATATACCCTTTCCTATGTCCTGTGTAGAAATGATATCCAGACAGCTGAAATGAAAAAAGTATACACTAAGAATCAATTATAAGCTTACAAAAGTTTGAATCCTAACGAAATCGATGATCATTCAACAGTTTTCTTTGACTTTAGCAGAAGTAAGATACTTAGTGTATTCAAATCACAATCTGCAGAGAAGAACTAACCTAAATGACAAACTCACGAGCGAAAACGTAATTTCAAAAGCATGCGACAAGGGACGAAAAATAATGAATTCCCTGATACATGTAAATATTGGGGTGCGCAAGCACGGTAAAACCATCTCTAAAGCTCCAGACAATGGAAAGTTTTACTAGCAGTTCTATATGGTTACAATATGTGGACAATCATGTCAAAGAAGTCTACATGCAGAAAATATTTCCATTTCTAATTTAATTCTCTATGATAACTCTTAATTATTAATTAAAATTAGCGGAATTGATTTCTTGATCATTAAACCGGAATGTAAATTAGGCAGACCGATAGGTCAGGAGCTAAGGAGGCCTAATGCAGTATGCATGCAAATCTCGTTCGCATCTATATGGATCTCTGTGTCTGACGCTAATTTTTAAGGGGGGCAAATGTAAATCTCGTACGGCTGCCATTGTGTTTGACGTCAGTGGCCAAAGACTATTGAAATTGGCATGGGAGTTTTTTGTGTAATTTAAATCTATATCTATATTTTTAAAGTCTAAATGTACAATTCTATTTCACAATGAAATGAAAATATAAGGATTCACTGTCTAGGTAGTACACTATCGTTTATGCCCTGGCATACAATACTACATGTAACTAGACTACGATTCACTAAATCTCGAAATACTACAAAGATTTGCAGCACGTAAGATTCAAGCCTTCGATCGACAATCTCAATCACCATGCACTATTTACTCGTTGGGACTCATAAAGATGGAATAGATTATTCAGAAGAATCAACTACTCCTCTGGAATCTAGCTACACTATACTAGTATTTTCTAAGCGTCTGTTTATTGCAAGGTTGAGTACCTTCTCAGATAATATTCTTCAGAAGAAACGCGGATTTATAGTCTGTATTTGTAAGAATATGAAAAGTTACAATATAGATTACTTTTTTCAGCGAGTAACTAATCAGTAGAAAAACACCATCAAAACTCATTTGGAATCACTACTTCAGCAATCTTATAAAGCTTTCTTCTTATAACGAATAGATGAACTCACTTGGATACCGACCAGAACTAAATCGTTCTGCAGAAATACACGAAGAACTTACACATCACCCACTTTAGATACTCAGTCTCCAACACCGCGAGAACTACCTGGAAACTATTTGAACTCAAAAATCTCCCAATTACTTATGAGACGGAAGAATTAAGTAGTGTGCAAATTATGCAAAAGAAATACACAGGATATCGTACTACACTTCATGTTAGACTGTACGAATCTGTACAAAAGCTACGAACATCTCATGACCATGATCATTAATTGTCTACCAGTGAACATATATTTATTTATTAGTTACACACACAGTTAGTGACCTAATACTAACTTTTATAATAAATTATTAGAACTGGAAGATATCGGAATATTTTTGTGTTGTCATTTTACTAGTTAGGAACACCAATTATAAACACAAATATAGTTATACTGGTATTCATTCTCCGTTTTTTTCTTCATTGTAAAAATATCTAATCCAATATTCAATGTTTTAAAAATGTTAATCAATATTAATGTTATGGATTAATTGGTTAAAACATGAAGAAAAACATCCTTAAGTTTGCTTTCCTTTTTTTTTTTTTTTTTAAGAATATCATATCTTACCGAATTTGGATTCTTTGATTCCTTTTTCTAAAAGGAATAAAAGAGAATATTCATTAAATTATTTACATGAATTTAACTTTATTGTTGGAGAAAGTTTAGTAGTAATGCATCTGAAATATTACAATCCGTGGTGGAAATAAAATTCATATGTCATACAATAAAATCGCTGACTAATAATTCAATTGTCATTGTTTAGAAAATCTGATTGATTCTACAAATTAAAATAATTTTTTGAAACAAGTTTCTATTATTAGCTCCTTACTGGTGAAACCGGAGGGGAATATAGGTTTCCTCTACGTCTGTCCGTCCGTCCGCCTAGCCGTCCGTCTGTCTGTCAGTCTGTCCTACTTGATTTTGCGCGCTGTTTTTCTAAACGCTTGTTATTTTTATATGTTTTCTGATAAGGTCCATCTTCTTTTTACTGATGTTGTCAAATAAAACGGAAAAATCCATTCCGAAAAAGTAAGAAAGCAGAGCATTTTAGGGAGACACAAAGGATAGTACCTCTATAAATCGCAAAAGTTCAGAATATAAAACAAATTTTGTCCAACGGTTTAATTTTCTTGGTTCTCACCTCAGAGATCATTTCCTTTTCGAAAATAAAGGGGCTTCGTTCTATAAGATTTTTCATATTTTTTTTATCCTTTTTTTTTTAAAAACAGAAATTCAAACTATTTTGATGCTTCTGTTGAATAAAGGAAACTTTTGTTGATATCTTTCTTACCTTGGAGAATTTAATACAGTCACTCAAAAGGTAATGTGTAAAAGATAAACAAATTCAGATATCAAATAATCACAGAGTGCAGATATAACAATAATTGAAAATATTATTTTCTACATTTTCATTTTTGATCCTTGTTTTCATTTTGAAGATTTAAATAACATTGTATGTATGAAAGACTGTTTCAAGAAGGTCATTTTCATACTTGCCTTTTTCCTTGATTCTCTTTGCCTTGTTGGGTTACCGCTCTGTTCTGTGTTTTGCTCTCTGGAACGACGGTGAACTGATGGTCTTTAAAAAGATTAATTTATATAAAAAATAGTTTTTATCTGGTTTTCTCTGTTCCAGAATATGAATTCTACTACGATTATTGGCTACTTCAAAGGAAAGCCGCGGACATTATTCTCCAATAAATCACGAACGTCATCAAAAAATTATCAGATCAGAAACACGTATAAAACCTGTGCAGTTGAAATGTACATTTGACTTAAAAATGAAATACGTATTTAAACCACGTTGATGTGTCGTCTTTTGAAATTTAAACACTGTATATTGCAGAAAGTAGCTGATGAATGTAGATTTCTAAGGCCAAGCGGTGCTGTTTCCCGAACCTCCCTCCGCCATATTTAAACTCCGTAATCTTGGTAAAGTGGTAAAATAGGAAACTGATTTTATTTTTGTATATTCAAAAAGATTAATATTTTTAAGCTACAAACAATAAAAGACTAATTTTAATGCAGCGAAAGCTCAAATTGTCTGCACTCTATTCACAGGTAAACAAACAAATTTACACTCTGGTGTTAAATGGAACAGCGTTAAAGCAGCATGGTGACCTAATTCGATTCTCTATAGAGAAACGATCAGTCGGATTTTAGGGCTGCTAACTACATGTAGCAGAATAGAAATAAAGTTCTTGTTTTCGTGAATGATGCAGAATAACCTCCTCGGTCTCGAAATGTTGTTTGAGATATAAAAGCCTCGGCTGGGGGGGGGGAGAGAGAGAGAGAGAGAGAGAGAGAGAGAGAGAGAGAGAGAGAGAGAGAGAGAGAGAGAGAGAGAGAGAGAGAGAGAGAGAGAGAGAGAGAGAGAGAGAGAGAGAGGGAGAGAGAGAGAGAGAGAGAGAGAGAGAGAGAGAGGGGGGGAGAGAGAGAGAGAGAGAGAGAGAGAGAGAGAGAGAGAGAGAGAGAGAGAGAGAGACACAGAGAGAGAGAGAGAGGAGAGAGAGAGAGAGAGAGAGAGAGAGAGAGAGAGAGAGAGAGAGAGAGAGAGAGAGAGAGAGAGAGAGAGAGAGAGAGTGTGTGAGAGAGAGAGAGAGAGAGAGAGAGAGAGAGAGAGAGAGAGAGAGAGAGAGAGAGAGAGAGAGAGAGAGAGAGAGAGAGAGAGAGAGAGAGAGAGAGAGAGAGAGAGAGAGAGAGAGAGAGAGAGAGAGAGAGAGAGAGAGAGAGAGAGAGCGCGACACGCGAGAGAGAGAGAGAGAGAGAGAGAGAGAGAGAGAGAGAGAGAGAGAGAGCGCGCGGCGCGAGAGAGAGAGAGGGGGGGGGGGGGGGGGGGGGGGGGAGGGGGGGGGGGGGGGGGGGGGGGGGGGGGGGAGGGGGGGGGGGGGGGGGGGGGGGGGGGGGGGGGGGGGGGGGGGGGGGAGAGACGCCTCGGCTTTTATCTTTCAAACAACATTTCTCGACCTCGGAGGTTATTCTGCAACATTCACGAAAACGCGGACTTTATCTCTTAAATAATGCTGTAAGATCTTTTTTAATTACATTGTAACGTGCAAACCTACTGGATTCTACAAGGGACAAGGGTTCTTTGATTGATATTGTATATATTCCCTCTTACTCTACCTGAGTTATTATTGATTGGAACTATGTAGAATTAATTTAAATGGTAGGCCGTGGTCCCCGAGCAAGATAACCTACACGATGTTCCTGGAACAGCCAGAGTTCAAATTGTTAAGTGAAGCACCGAGGTTCTTTCACCCTTATACAGAATTACTTCGCCCTGGTTCCTTACCACAATTCCTCTAGACTGCTTTCTTTCCACTAATGCACTTCTAACCTTTGCTCTTTTATTTCTCAAATATTTACTAATTACCTGACGTTTTATTCTTCAGCTTTCTTCTTGCGCTTTCTATAACTGATTCCGTCAGAATAAGGCCTGGCAGCTGCCAGCGTCTCCTTTATATACGCATGACCCATTCTACCTACTCAATGGGGTGATCAGCCTATTGGATGAGTCTATTTTCCATTATCCTCTCTGATTCAATTATAGTACGCATGACCAAATTCGCTACCCATTACAACTTATTCAATACCAGTTTACTTTAGAAAAGGTGTAATTTTGTTTTAAATTAAAAATTTAGAGCATTTTCTCGATATCAAATTTATCAGAATGAAAATCGAATACAATTCACTTACCTTTCGAAGGAAGTACCTAATTTGTCATGGTCTCTAGGATGTCGTGTAACCTGAATTTAAATTTCATAAAATCATTCTTTTTCGGATCTCTTTTAATTTTACAATTTTAAAACACGTATTGAATTTGAAATCAATAAAAGCAGGCACTTTTGCAAAACCATGCAATTTATTCTCACTGTGAGCTAATCAAACCCCTGCTAGGAACGATAAAATTTGATATGAAAAAATACTTTTTTGTTATACGAGTGCCATTCTATCTTCTCTGTATTTTAAGCATTTGATCTAGAGTTGTATACATAGAAAGGATTAATCCTTATGTAGCTGAATTTAACTGAACTGCAGAACGTCAGTTTTCCTACAACCGAGATATCGCATCGCAGTAGGCTCTGACAAAAAAGGAAACTTAAAACTCCTAAGTGCTGAGTAAATATCTAAATTAGCAGCATTCCAATGACATATGAGTGAACAAAACTCGGGAAGCCCGAAAACCATTCTCAAAAATTGGTATGCTGAACATTACAATACTTCTACATCACACAGCATTAAAATATATGCCATCAAGTAAAGAAATAAACTAAATTTTATTTAGGTTGACGAAAGAGATAAATTAAAATAATGATTTTGAAGAAAATACAATTTTCGGTTAAAGTTAAAAAATGGTGCTATAAACAGTAAATAAATATTTGGAGAATTTTAGTAAAATTTGCAGTAAAGTTTTATTTACTGCGATAAATATATAGACTGATGATTTCATTTTGACTTCAGTAGCATTTTTAAGTTGTAAGGATTTCAGATTATTCCTGCAGACGAGTGTTTTCTTCCTTAGTTTTAAATCTTCAAAATTTTTATGATCATTTTATATCAGTTTTCATGTTTGCCAATGAAACAATGAAACTGTTTATATCCTGTAATTCAAATCTCAGATATTGTAATATGTATTAACATAATAAAACACATATCTATTTGTTAAATGGAGTAGGTTTTTCATCAAACCATGTCAGGAATAGACCCTGTATCGGGTTAATAAAAAAGCTATCCGACTTGCAATTATAGGATAAGTGTATACTATATCATGGTCGTTAATTTCACATTAAATATGAATAACAATACTATTTTTCTGGATACAAAGTCAAGCAATAATGCGATTGTATTGCTGAGAATCTGGGCAAATAAACTTTAGATTTATATAATAATCATAAAAATGATTTACTTCATAGATATATACCAAAGTATATTCTTCGACGCGTATGCAATCTAGTGTTTGCATCAAAAGCCAAGACCTAATTTTTACAATTAAAAACATATATATTATTTCATTATAAATAAATACACCAAATAATATGGATAGGGTAATTGCACCTTTGGCACTAGTTGGCTGAACGAGCTTAATTGCAAATGCGTTTGTAAAGCAAAGGAATGCCACTATTTTAAACAATGTAAGATCACCAGACAACATTTCAATGGGGTGTTCGATAATTAACGCTAGTATTCGGAATGTTTCGTACATACTAATATAATGTTAAATTCAACGTTTAATTAAACTCCAAGATATTGAAAACTATAATTCTCTCGACCTTTGGTAGATTTTTATTTTAGTCAATTTATAAGCCATGTAAATGTTCTTTTGTTTTTATTCTACTTGCCTGTTCATATCCATTTTGTGAAACATTTTTCCGGCCTCCATCTGAAGATCTTAAATATAAATTAAATGGACATTTTCAATACTGGTAAATGATTGTGTTCACATGAGGTAAAAGGATAAAGTTGATATTAATCTTTATTAAAATGTATTAAATATATACAAACCCTGAACTGTTTGCAAATGATGATTCGTCACTTGCATCAATATCCTGTTGGCTGTAAGCCAAATTTCTTTGCCCATAATTGGCCTATTATTAAAAAAATTATTTCTACAATAGAATTATATGTAAATTTCCTCTATTCTTTTCACAGTTATTTGAATCAAATAGAATTTTTTTTATATTAGAAACATAAGTATTTGCTGCACCAAAAATATTCACTTTTTGACTATGTTTGAGGGCAAAATGCGTTTTATCGGACTCACGAACCAAACTCTTTGCCTGAGGATTTTAGATATGCATATGCATTATACTCTAGAACACACTCATAAATGTTTTGTTGTACCTTTCGTATTCTTATTGGTGTCAATCACCAAAGGATACAAATAAGATTTAGCTCATTGGTCGACGTTAGCAGTTCAAATCTCATCGACAGATCCAACATCTTACTTCGCGATCAACGTCGTTTTTAGCCGGGCTTTGCTGAGAGCCCTGGCTATAGGCATCATCATCGACTGTCTTACTATAAATAGCACAATAAACAAAAAAAAAAACCAAAAAAAAAAAAAAAAAAAAAAAAGACAAACAAACAAAGAAACAAACAAAATAGCGTTTCCGATAAACATTATAGTCCCATTGCGAGACGATATTTAAACAAATATTTTTAACATTCCAATCATTAGTAAAGTTAATGATCAATATTTTTGCTTGAGAATTAAAGTGAAAAAGAAATTAGATATTTGCTTTATTGGGATAATCGTGATATAACAATTTGTGCACATACGCTGCTGAATGCATATTGTAAGCGAACTATTTTCAATCGCACGGGCTTTTCGAAATGTTAAAATTGTTGCAGAGTTTCATGTTTCATATCGTTTTCGTCGAGTTATGTAGTGGTTATATTCTGTTTTGATTTTCAGCAAACTAATAGTATATTGAATTGAAATTTTAAGAATAACATGTTCATGTATCGGTGTTTCTACATGTAGTTGGCGATAAAAGTACCGTTTGTTTTAAACTAAAAGAATATCTACAAAATACACATGTGCATTATTTGAACATTTCCAAGACTGAATTTATGAATTATGAGAAAAAAATGCTAATTGAATAGAAAATATGCGAGAATTTCTTGGAAGTATTATTTATTAAATTTCAAAATCATAACATATCTTGGGGTCTGGACTTTTAATTTTAATTACTGGTATATGAGATATTGTTTTAAATCATAATCATACAGACTCTACCTGTTAGAAATCAATGGCCAAAAGGAAAAAAATGAATATGTACTAATTCAGATCAGACAATATTCTCCAGCAATTAAAGCTCGGCTATCAGTTCTTTCAATACTTTGCTTGATTTCTTATAACGGTCAGATAAACATTGAGAAAGTAAGACTTTTCTCCTAAAGATTTGTATAAGAATAATAGGTTTTAAAGTTATAACAAAAGAATTTTCAGCGGATGTTACAAAACCTTTTTTAAAGGGGCATGGACACAGTTTCAACTGAATTAAATAACCAATTTTAATGCCTAAAATTCCGACATCCTCTAATGATCAGCAAAAACTTGAACATCATTTATTGATTAACAAACGAGATACAGAACTTAAAGTTTTTCAAAATGTAAAGAGGGCTCGTGCCTTGTTTTTGTTTACATATAGAAAATATTTTATTTGTAACAAAATGAAATTAAGCAAAGCACTAGAAACTGTCTTATTGTATTTAGAATTAACTTCTTTATTGAAATTGTCTGCTACGAAGAAACATATATTTGGTAAATTAATCTACGTACTATAAACAAAACATGACATGGACCCTGTTTACATAACAAACTTAAGGTTTAGAGCTCAAAATCTGACTTATATCTCAACAACTGAAGTTCAGATTTTTGATGATCATTAGAAAGTACTTAGTTAAATATTTGTAAAAATGGAGAAATAAATAATTTTTTAGCTGAAACTGTGTCTATGCCCCTTTAAAATATATCCAAATGTCGAATTATGAACTATCCTCCACTCGCCTGTTTTTAAATAACTTTATGTCATTGCTGGCCTCCTAGGAGCTTAATATCACAATATTAACATAACACCATTAAATTTAATTAATTGTTTCTGATGAAAGGTCACTAAGTAGCAGAGTTGTTCTATTCATTCACCTTTTAATATATTTTTTGTTACATGTACCTGTCAAAAGCACTGAATGACAGAGTTTTTACTATCATATGCTAATTGAAAACGAATTGATTTAAACATTTTAATCGACAAATTCAAAAGAATAAGAAAAGTTTTATACATTGGAACAAAGGAATCTTAAAAGAGTTTCACTTTGAAAACTTATAAGTAAAACATGTACAGACAACACCCATCAAAGTATAGGTGTAGCAAAGGGAATTAAACGAATTAATTTACCTTGTAAAATGTATGCAATAAACAGTGTATAATTCCAAAATGTCTATTATAGTTTAAACACGATTTGCCAAGAAATTTAAACAGCGCAGTACAAAATATTTACAATACAATACAGTTTATTTGAAATTACACACTCCAATCAAAAAGCAGGTTGTCGTTGATGTAAACCTACTGATGTATGTCAGCTCGAATCTGTCAAGGTGATATTTCTTTTAAAGAAGCATTATAAGATTATTTTATTAGCAGTATCAATCCCCCACCGGCAAGTTTAAACTGACTATTTCCAAAATTCAGTAACAAAGGTAATTCAGGTGTCCATTTAAATGTCGACTTGCAGGTTGCCCAACAAAAAGTGAGCAAGTTTAAGTAGATGTAACTACCGGTATTGAAAATTAACTTCTGATCTTGTAAAACATTTTTTATCAAGATTGTAGTACCAAAAAAAAAAAAATACACAGCCATCCAGCAACGCACGAAAGTTTGTTTCGGTCAAAGTCGAGCAGGTGCTTGAAAATGAAGTCCAGGGCCTAATCACTCCCCACTCAAATACAGTATATAGAAAAATCAGCACGCCCCAAAATTTTAATAAATCTTGTCAATACAGAAAGTTACATGTCGATTTTCATCTCATAATAAAACCTCCAGTATCAAATGCCCGAATCGGAAGGGAAGTGTCATGTTGTTAATTTTGAATTTACCGGGTGTCAGTAAATTTACAGTTAATTTTGTGTTAACTGCCACCCGGTAAATTCAAAATTTACAACATGACAGAAGATTCAGGTATTATTTTGCGTCAGCCATGATTTGACGTGAACTCTAGTGAAATACTGATATGAAACCTACAATTAAAATTAATTTTTTTTTTCTTGCCAGTATATCGAACACGGATTTTCAAAAATATAAATTGTGGCAAAAGTTGTAATGATTTTGTGCGTTACACTTTTGTGGTTCTTTTTTTTTTTTTTGGTTTTAATTTCATTAATGGATGCATACTGATAAAAATGTTAAAAATAAGTTTGCTTTTTATAACAGGGCGAAAGAATCGTCTTTGTCATAAGGAAGGGGGTGGGGTTAAAAAGAGTATTGAAATAATAGACATTGTTGAAATATCAAAGTGTTTTTTCTGGTTAATTACGATTGATTTTCCTCAATAATTATTTTTTCAAACCAGATTTCTTTATCTGTTACCAATATGTTCCAAATTAACGATTTTAACAAATAGTCAAAATTTTTATTTTTTCTCCGGGTATGGTCTAAATTCTTTAAATTTACAGATTTTAAAGATTTTGTTAAAGAGTAGAATACATGTCATTTTTCTATATTGAAAAAAAAATATAACAACTGTAATTATAATTAAGGATACATATGGAGATTTGAAAATTCGATTCTTATATATTTTAACTGATTTTTTATAAATATGAAATAAATAATAAACCCCCAAAATATGAAGAAGTAGCTGTTAGATCTCTTTGGTGCTGTTTTCTTTGTAATTTTTATTTATTCAGAGTTTTACACAAACGTTAACATTGTATCAAATTCTTACAAAATTATCCCAGTTTACATATAAGGATTACTCAGGCATCATATCTTTAAAAATATTGCTGATTTCTGAAAAAAGAAGTTTATGTTGTATTTTTACCCTTATTAAAGAACACATTTATTTTTATATGTTTAGAGAGATATTCCCTGATATGAATGATTAAGATTTTCATTTGTAGAAAGCACGGAGTTCGAATTATTTTCTTGCTTATTTATTCGGTATATTATTTGGCTATCACAAGCAGAATAAAAATTAAAACAAACGCTATTTTTTTTTAACCCTTTTAATCTTTGTCACGTATTGATGTTACATTTATTTATTGTCAGTAATATAAAAAAATATTTTCCAAAGGTGTAATTAAAAAAAAAATGAGAAAATTAAAGATCAAAATGTTAGAATAATAAATTTTATACAATGGAACGTTAACCATAAAATTTTATGTTACTAAAACTTATATAGTTGTGAATACATCATAATTAAGTTTTCCTTAAAAACATTTAGGTACATACCATTGCGTATAACACTATTGTGATGCGATCCTCATCAAATGCTCTAAACTCAAATATGAAATTTCGAAAAATAAATATCGTGAATCGAAAATTATGAGATTGGTTTTTCCAATTAGACTGCCTTAATTGTAATCTTTAAGCATTTAAAAAAAATTGGATATTCATCGATTATATTAGTGCCAATAATAATTGTCATGCTGTTAAAAACCATGAAAGATCATATCTCTATATAGAATTCTATACATGTCCATGTATATACAGGTAGCCTGCATGTATGGATAAGCAAATAACCCTATACATGTATATAAACATTGTACATTTACATGAACATTGTTAATGATTTTTTGAAAATTAGAAATCTTTTTTCTTAGTTCTAATTTGATAATATACATATATCCAATGAACAAAACAGTTTTTTTATGAAAGCACATGTATAATACTTATTTTGGAGGACTAAATCAGATACCATATGGTACCTGACCCTACCTCTGATGTTTTGGAGGTCCGTATTTGCTCTGCTTACAATTTGTATTGTTTTGTGGACTTTTGAGCTTGAGTACTGTTCGTTACCTCCATATTTAATTGAGAATTTTTCTTCCCGAGTCATGCAAAGAGAATTTCACAAAATAAAAATCTTGAAAATTAAAAATTTTCCTTTATCAGAAAATAACACGTTTTTTATATTCTTTTAAAATACACTGTAAAATGCATGTATTTTTCGTTTACTTAGTTATATTAACTTCCTGGTTTAATTAGTTTATCTACCAATAGATCTCATGAAAGGTTGGCATTCTACACTGTTCCATGCTTATCTAGCAGATCAAGATGTATATAAATAATCACTTTGCATTTGTCTTTGACTATTTAAAATACATAACGCAAATGAATGATCTGAATAATGTTGATCAAACACAAAAGAATCATATGCATGTCAACGAACAGTGCTGATATGTACTTTATTGCTCAAAAAAATTGTTGTGTTAGGCTGTCATAAAACCACCTTGAAGACATAATTATAAATACCCGATACTATGGTTGAATAACACAGTCATGGTTACCAAGAATTTCATACGAAGCCAAGTTCTTTATATCCAATGACTACTCAACTACGTGTATTCCATTTATAACATTTGAAGACTTGTGACGGTAGATAATGTCATTTTGTATATATTGTCTTCGGTCACAATATGATTGTATACATGTACCTACTCTCATTACACACATCCTCGTCCATCGGTACATATTGTTGCCGACTGAAAAGTTGCACAGGTAAATATTGTTGCTGACAGCACATATTGTTGCCCCACGGATAGTGTTGCTTAAAGATATTTTGCTGTTTTTTGATACATTTAACTGTAATTTTTCTTTTTTGCTTTGATCGACCACTCTGGCCTCACTCGACCTCTGCTGGTATATAATGGTTTGAAAAATAAAACCTTTGAATTTACGCTGTTAAATGAAGCTTACAATAAGAACAAACTCTCCTGGTCCAGTAGTTCTTGGGGAAAAAAAATTACATAGATTTTTTTCTTTATATTTCTATATAAAATTTTCTCAAATATTCTGTATATCATGACATGCCCCTCTACGGAAGCCCATTTAGGACCTATCGAAAAATATTTTGAATCCGATATAACGAATTGCCGAATTTGTTATAACGAATTTAATTCGTTATAACAATTTCTTTTAATTGGTTATAATGAATTTAATCTGTTATAACAAATTTGTTGATTTCGTTATAACGAATTCAAAAATTTGTTAATACGAATTAAACTCGTTTTAACAGATTCTAAAACTTGTTATAACGAATTGAATTCATTTAAATGAATTCCATAATTTGTAATAACGAATTAAATTCGTTAAAACGAATTCGACAAATCGTTATATCGAATTTATATATTTTTTTCTATAGGTCCTGATAATTGAATTTAATTAAACGAATTTAATTCGTTTTAACAAACTTTGGAATTTGTTTGAACGAATTTAATTTGTTATAACAATTTTTTGAATTCGTTTGAACGAATTTAATTTGTTATAACAATTTTTTGAATTCGTTTTAACAAATTTAATTCGTTATAACAAATTAAAGAATTCGTTATTAATAATGAATTCAACAAATTTGCTATAACAGATTAAAATCGTTATAACAAATTCAAAGAAATTGTTATAATGAATTAAATTCGTTATAACAAATTCGACAATTCGTTATATCAAATTTCAAAAATATTTTTATAGGTCCTAAATAGGCTTCCTGTAAAAGTTCACAAGAAAATATAATAAAAATCTTATTTTATCTGGAAATAATTGAAACTACGAATTCGGGGACACGTTTGATTAACACATCCTTGCATTTTCAGAAAGTAAACTTTATCTTTAATGCATAATTATAGTAAATAAAAATGAAATACCTGTATATTAAAATCATTATCCAGAATTAAAGTATTAATATTTTTTTCATGTAATATATATGAAAAATATATGAAATATTATGGGAAAGTTGCGGTTCCTTCGGATGAGACCTTAAAACCGACGGCAGGCGTTGGCACGTAAAAATAACCCTCACTGCTCAATGGCCATGAGTGTCGAGTAAAAGTAAAAATTTGAAGCACTTCACCAGTATATGGTAACGTCTCTATATGAGTGAAAAATTGTATGTTGAAAAACAACATACAATAAATCATTATTACATTTTACACCTAAATTATGATAAAACAAATTATAAAAATAGAATACATTCATGTGTTCCGAAGTGAGTATCTTTGTGTCAAAATACAATTCAAAAGAGTGTTGATGAAACTAATTAAATATTTTGTACCAGTGATGTGTTTTTTAACCGATGCCATGGCGAGGGAATAAAAAAAAAAACTCGTTGGATAAGATCATATCCATGTACATTCGTACATGAAAGATTCAATATTCCATATTTTATCTATCAATATTTTACACAGTTTTATACCCGATAGGAATCCCAAAGCTCGTGCATTTTGTACACCCAGCTTGTGCCAATATTCACCAATATAAGTTCAAGCACACTATGATATTGTTAAATGCAACTGTATTTCGATGAATACTGTATTATTTGATTTTATACCTAGTTCAAAATGTCAACGTCTTTTTATAGCCAATATCACCCATATTTTAAAGATCCTTTACTAGTATTTTTTACTTTATGGAGACTAATATTTATTGATAGGAAAAAAAATAATGTTAGTTGTGAACATCCACATAAAATATGATTCATATTGAAGGTAGTTGCTTACATGTAGATTTTTGAAGAGAATACATAGAAAACGTACCATGGATCTTATCTAGATCTGTTAATAATACAGATATTCACAATAAAAAAAAATCTGGCTAGAATATGCACAAAGAAAAAAAGGCTTCCAAGGAATTCCAATTATACAATGATAACTTTATAATATCCTTATGTTGAAACGTGACTTTTCAAGGACTTTTGAGAAGTTCCTGAAAACAATTGAGAAATTAAACTTTTGTAATTCAATACGACCGAGAAGATTGCAGATCTTTGGTTGTTAAGACATTTAAAAGTCTATTAGAAGTTTGAAAAATTGTTAGTTTTAATAATTCAACAATTTTTAAATGAGAGAAAATCACAGTAGACAATTTATGCAATTGTATTTAGTATGCAATGTAGTTTTTCTTTACAGATTTTTTGTCTGTTGTTATGGAAAAGTCTTATAGTTAAATCATAGGACTGTCTGATTAATCCTATTTGTTTAAATCATTAATGTTTAAAATCGAAATCACGGTTTTTAAAGCATAAAGTAAGTAATATATTTGTAATGTAATGGAGCTTGGACACATTTGCATTGCATGGTTGCTTACAATTTCCAAATTTGATTTCCAAGAAAACTTTCACTTTAAATCAATGCTCTTAAAATTTAATGACAAAAGCATTCGTCATAACATTACCAAAAGGAGATTGCAAAATAATATCGTCAAGAATGATAATTTAAGGTTTGGACATTGGCAAGTAATTGTAATTTAATTGCTTACTTTGTAATTGGCCAGATACCTGAACATGATGCATCCATAGCTCCATTCAATCTTTAATTTAAACAATATTTTATGATGAAAAATCATTAAAGGATAGGGTAGCAGGCACTTCCTGTATAAATCTTCTCCAAAATTTGCAATTTTTTTCAGATTCCCCTATTTTTAAATTGTATTTTGCCGAGAGGTGTTAAGAATAAAACTTTAAAATATAAACAAGGATTTCTAAGAAAATTAAAATAAATATGGATTGTTACTGAAGAAAACTGAAAAATTAACGTAAATTTTTATATATCCGATCTTGCATGAGCGCACAAAAATCACTAAACGGACATCATGCCCCTATCGTAATTTTAAAAAGTTGTTTGCTTCCGTGATTTAAACAATAATACAGGTGCTACTGCGCATGCCCAACATGTAAGATATACATTCCTGGCAGAGGGAGAATTTTTGCCAAAAATCCTGTGAAATTCTGAAATTTAAAATGCAGTGATATTAATCAAGACATTCTTCTGTGTGTTATGTGCGGATTTAAGTGGATTACAGAAAGAAATAGATACACCAGAAAGCTGTAAAATTTTCGTAAGTCAGTGGCATTTCACTGTTAAACGGTGAGCGATTCTCATACACCCTAAGTACAGTGTTTTCACAATGGCGGAGATCTCTAAAAAACGAGCGCTGGACAAAACAGATAGTACGGATGAATTGTCAATGGAGCAAGATGAACAAAGTAAACAGAAAACTGAAGATTTTCAACTTAGAGAACTTATGCAGGGCATTTCCAGCATACAGACAACGCTAGCTAATTTCATGTTACGACTCGATGGTCAGGGTAAGCATCTAGATGACATTACAAAAGAAATTAGAGCCAAAAACGGTATTCAGGAGAGGCTAGAGAATGTCCAGGAGCAGGCCAATGATACTATCTACCTCGTAACAGAGTTGCAGGACAATCAGAAGAAAATGGAGAGAGAATTAAATAGATTCAGAGATTACGTGGTTAAGCTTGAATATCGTGTGAACACGCAAAATAGCCAAATTATCGACCTAAAATCAAGATCAATGGAGAACAATATTATTATCAGTGGTTTGGAGGAAAAAAGTCCCGAGAAAAAGTCCCCGGAAAATCTGGCTAATATCCTTAGAAATGTTTTCACCTCTGAAATGGGGATGAAAGAGGCAACAGTAAACGAACTCAGAATAAACAAACTGTTCCGCATGGGAGAGTATGATGTACAAAGAAAGTTCCAGAGACCAATCTGTGTACAATTCCGTGATAAGACTCAAAAAGACCTTGTGATGAGGCATATTAAACATGTTAAAGTCTTGAAAGAAAAACAATCAGTTATAAGAGTAGCACAGCAGCAGCCAGAAGAGATCCGGGAGAGGAGAAAGCAACTCTACGATGTTCAAAAGAAGTATGCGGAACGCAGTATCGAGTCAAAAATCAAGGGTGATAAACTTGTATTCACTCAAAGCAACTCAATTTACCGGGAGAAAGTTGGACCTTTGCCTACAGCAGATGAAGTGATCACAAATGACGTGGTAAATACTGCCGTTAGTACAGGAAAGTCAATCGAAGATAACGGGAACCGCTTCATAGCACACGCTACGCAGGTCGACTCCTACAAACAAATCAAGAAATCGCTGGTGGATATCATGCATGTCGAGACTGTGCCAAGTCCGAGTAACAATATTTATGCCTACTGTTTCTCAAGTGACGATGGAGAGCATGGAGAGCATGGAGCGGGTAGGTTGTTATTAAAAACACTAGCCGATAACGAAATTAACAATGCACTCGTAGTTGTGTCAAGATGGCACGGAAACAACATCGGACCCCGTCGCTTCTCGCATATTAAGGAAGTAGGTCTCGGTGCGGCAAAGAAGTTACCAGTCTCAGTTTGATATAACCTTCAAACAAGCGTAAAAAGTGAATTCCGACGTTTATTTGAGTGGACCACTATCTAGAACCAATTTTATTACCTTTAATAGTGTTTCAAAGCGAAACAAATATCAGGTGTGTTTCTTCAAATATCCCGGAATATTTATTTCCTATCCAATTATTCCGGCTGTTTTTGAAATGTAGTATTTCCTGTTTTGTTTTTCGCATTTGGTAAACAATTTTCTTTTCATTTCAAATATTGCCTGGTGTTAACATAATATGTGAATATATCTTTGACTTAAATACCACATAACAATGGGGGGATCTATGCACATAGTCTCCATAATATCAAACTACTATAATACTATATTTAATTGATACAAAATAGTCAAGTTGTGATTTGATTGAAACCAGAGTTTTCTCTGTTATTGTTCAAGTTATTTATTAATCTTTAATCATAACTTTCTATGCTCATATCCTTTATCTTTGTTAAATAGGAAAGTCTATGTGCATAGTATTCTCTACAATCGTTAGCATCGTTAATTTCTATAAATGTGCTTATTGCAAAGTTATTATCATAAATTAAAAAAAAAAGTGTTTGGCAAAATCTTTCCCTCAAAGTAATCAGCAACAAGAGGCATGTCTTTTTGGACAGTTCCATTATTTTTTTTTTGTATGTATTTTTTTCAACCATTTTCAACTTTTTTTTCCAATATTTGTTTTTGACAACTGGGGGTCAGCATTATTCCTATCATCATTCAGACATTTATGGAACATAGGGAAAATAACATAAAAATACTGACAGTAAACTGCCAAGGCCTGGGGGGATATAGATAAAAGAAGAGATGTTTTCAAAAATCTTAAAGCTAAGAAATATATAATGTTTATTTTCTTCAAGATACACATTTTGTGGGAAAAGATGAGAACATAAGAACACAGTGGGGATATAAAGCTTTTTTTAGTTCTTTTAAATCCAATTCAAGAGGAGTTGCTATCTTATTCAATAATAATTGCGAAGTAAAAATATGCAACAAGTTTAAGGATAATGAGGGAAATTATCTTATTATAGATGTTCTCATTGAAGACTTACCTTTTTTACTGATAAATATATATGGTCCAAATTGTGATAGTCCCAATTTTTTTTTAAGTTTACTTAATAAAATAGAGGAGATAAATTGTTCTCAACACATTGTTATTGCAGGTGACTTAAATTTAATTTTTGATAAAGAGTTAGATTCAATGAACTACAAAAACTTAAACAATCCAAAATCATGACTTGAAGTTTTAAAACTTATGGATGCTTTAAACCTAAAGGATGTATATCGTGAAAATAACCCAAACTTAAAAAGATTTACATGGAGATGAAAAAACCCAATTAAACAAGCTAGGCTTGACTTTTTCTTTTTATCAGAATCTTTGTTCACTATGACTCCTTGTGTAACTTACGAGAACAGTTATCGTTCTGATCACTCACCAGTCGTGTTAAGTTGTAAATTAAATGAGTTTATAAAACGAAGAGGATTCTGGAAATTTAATAACTCTTTACTAACTGATAAGGAATTTGTTAAAAAGATAAAATGTAAGATTGAAGAGGTCAAAGTTCAGTATGTCTGCCCTGTTTACAATATGGAAAGACTAAGCTGTCTGGATAATGATATTCAATTTACTATTAGTGATCAACTTTTTCTTGATATTTTACTAATGGAAATAAGAGGAAAGTCAATCTCCTATTTCGACTTACAAAAAGAAAGAAACAAATGAAAGAGAAAAACAATTGGAAAAAGAAATATTTGAATTGGAACAAAATTTAACAGAACATTCAATAAATGAACTTGCAGAAAAACAAACAGAAATAGAAGAAATAAAAAAAAATAAGGTTCAAAGGGCAATGTATCAGGTCAAAGGTTAAATGGATTGAGGAAGGAGAAAAACCATCAAAATATTTTATTAGTTTAGAATCAAGAAACTATGTCAGTAAGCAAATTCCAAAAATAGAAAGGGATGATGGATCATTTGCTTCTACTCAAAAAGATATTTTAGAGGAAACAAAACTTAAGGTTTTTTTTATGAAAGTTTGTATAAAAAAAGGGAAAATGTTGAATCTGAAAATATTCATGAAAAATTAAAAAATTATAAAGATATCCCCAAGTTAAGTAAAGAGGAATCAGATAGCCTTGAAGGACCAGTGACAAATTCTGAAGTTCTAAATTTCCTAAAACAAATGAAAAATGATAAAAGTCCAGGCCCCGATGGGTTTACTTGCGAGTTTTTCAAATTTTTCTGGAAAGATATGGGTTCTTTCATCACAAGAGCAATAAACAATTCATATGATCTATCACATTTTACCGAGTCAAATAAACTTGGAATTATAACTTGTATCCCAAAAATCAGGAAAACCAAAACAGTTTTAAAAAAACTGGCGGCCCATTAGTCTTTTAAATGTAGTATATAAAATAGCTTCAGGTTGTATTGCTGAACAAATGAAAATAAAATTAGATAAATTAATTAATAGAGACCAAACTGGATTTATAAAAGGCAGATTTATAGGGGAGAATATAAGATTAATATATGATTTGATGCATTATACAGAATTGAATCAAGTGCCTGGTTTACTAATGCTTATAGACTTTGAAAAAGCATTTGATACAATCTCATCGAAATTTATATATCAAACATTGGACTTTTTCAACTTTGGACCCTCCATTAAAAAATGGATTGAAACTTTCTACAATGGTATTAAATCATGTGTAATACAAAATGGTGTTATTTCAGACTATATATTTCCTCAGAGAGGCTGTAGACAAGGTGACCCAATTTCACCATATCTCTTTTTGCTATGTGCAGAAATACTCGGAATTCTAATTCGGAATAATAAAGACATTAAAGGCATAATAATTGAAGGCGAAGAATATAAACTTTCACAATATGCTGATGACACATCTCTCATTTCAGATGGTTTGCCTACATCTATGGATGGTATTCTACGAGAACTAGATTATTTTGCAAATATTTCAGGTTCAAAAATTAACTTCTTAAAAACAAAAATGGTTTGGATTGGAAGTAAGAGATATTCAAAGGAAGTTTTTCACCATTCTCGGTGGAAGCTTGATTGGGATAATTCAAATTTTGATCTGCTAGGAATAAAATTTTCAGTTAATTTGGATGAAATGCTTGAATTAAATTACATGTCAAAATTAAATGATATCAAAAAACTGCTATGCAGTTGGAGTATGAGGAAACTTACCCCAATTGGCAGATTAACAGTAATTAAAACTCTTATTATACCTAAACTAAATCATCTGATTCTTACACTACCAAATCCTAAATCCGAATTTCTAAAAATGTTTGAGAAAGAGTTGTTTCACTTTTTATGGAATAATAAAATACATAAGATTAAGAAAAATGTTATAATTCAGGACTATAAATATGGAGGATTGAAAATGGTTGATTACACAGAATTTATTTCTGCACTTAAATCAAGCTGGGTTAGAAGACTCATTCACTCAGATGCAAAATGGGTAAAGTTGTTTAAAGCTGAAATAAAAACAGACATTGAAAGTTTGTGGATAAGGGGCTCAGATTACATTCTAAATTTAACAAAGAATTTAACAAACAATTTTTGGAAAGAGGTCCTTTATTCCTGGATAAGACTTATAAATATAAACCAAGAAAACAAACATGTTTTATTAGAACATATATGGAATAACCCACATAGAATGATAAAGAGAGAATCTTTTTTTTTGGAAAAGCTATTTTGATAAGGCTTTGTCTTTTTAAATGACCTTTTTGATAATGATGGTAACTTTTTAAGCTTTGATACCATAGTAAACTCAAAAGTGAAAACAAATTTTGTTGAATATAATGGTCTTAAGAGGGCGATATTTAAAAAATTGAAGGATGCAAGAATAGAGGACATTAAAAGATTAAAGATTATTGACCAAATATTCCAAATTCAACTTTCATATTTTATAGAAGTAATAAAGGGTGTAAAGATATGTTTAAAATAGTTATAAATAATAAGAGAGAGCCAATCAGTTCTCTTTTAAAATGGAATGAAAATAATGAGAAATTATTAGAACATATATGGAATAACCCACATAGAATGATAAAGAGAGAATCTTTTTTTTTTGGAAAAGCTATTTTGGACCAAATATTCCAAATATTCAGTTCTCTTTTAAAATGGAATGAAAATAATTTTTTCTTTGATGAAGCAGATTGGAATAAAATATTTGAACTTCCGTTCAAAGTTACTCAGGAATCCAAATTTCACTGGCTCCAATTTCAAATATTACACAGAATTATTCCAACAAATTATTACCTTTTTAGATTGAAGTTGATTGATTCACCAGCTTGTACATTTATGCATATACACTGACAATAGTTTTGCTTTGTTTGATATTGTAAAGACATAGTGAAGAGAGTTTGAATTGAAAATTGTCATTTATTTTGATCTAATAAATGACGAGACAAATCATGCAAAAATACTAATTAAACAAATTGACAAACATTACACAATCATACAAAACATGTGCATAAAATTAACAAATACATTTTGTTAAGCCAATTATCATAGGTGGGGCATAAAAAATCGCCCATACAGTTTTACTATACACAAGAACAAAATGATTTAAATCGTTCAATTTATTTCTCTCATCAAACATGGCAAGAAGATAAAAAAAGCATTTGGGTGGGACGGTGGGAAAAACAAATCAAGATGACTGGCGAATGTATGTTGACAAACTCATAAGCGTATGTTTCATCAGCCGAAGTTGTGTCCAGATCGTTACCACCTAAATGTAAGATGAGAAAGTCCGGAGAAACGTGCCTAAGTTTTTGTTCTAACGCCTGCAAGTGGGAATTATTTGTCAGCTTTCCTCCACTTATACCAAAAAATGTTACAAAAATGTTTGGATTTAAATTCAAGTTCTGAAATTCTCGATTTTGATTTACATAGTGCTCAAATCTTTTAACATGTGAAAACAGACGCCATTTTGACTGTTTACCGCAATGCATCTTAGATGCT